CAAAATACGTTAAGTTCAAAGCTTTTTTTGAGAATAAATTAGTCTTATCTTTTGATCAATATGAATGTTCATGTACAACTAATTACTTCTTAATACATGAAGCATCTGATCCTTTATGAGAAACATCGTTCATTTTAAATAAAATCAGTTATTCACCTACAGAAACTTCAAATCTCCGTACTTCTTGCTTCGAAGTGTGATGCTTAAATTCAAAATTAGTAACATGAGGTAGCTAAAAAAAGATGCGATCTACGAGCAGGATGTGCACCACATTAATCAAAAATGAATTCAAGAATGAAAGGCTTTCACCACAGAAAAACAGGTAGAAAGTTCTTTAACTGGAGGAAATTGGATAATGTAATAAAAAGTTCAAGGGCTTGATCATGAGAAATTAGTATATCACGAACAAGGCTTATTCTCTTTCACACGGCTAATCCTTGTTTTTACTTTTGTACCTTGATTAGGTAATCAGAACAGAACTTTTTCTATTAAAAACAATTCAGTTTTCTTTACGTTACAATAGAAAATAGTACCTGCTTTGAATTCAGTGGAAAAAATCTGTAAAAAGAATACAGTGAGAAGAGCTCTGCGTTAATCATGCATGGACACGAGCATACTGGGTTCTTCCTTATTTCCTTATTTTTAATCCTTATTTTTATGTTCATTGTAACATCAGAACTAGAATATATGATTACAGTGATCTTTCAAGAGTCTTTCTTATCTATAATTAAAAGAATAGAATGAGTTGGAAACAAAATCACCATTATGTAAAAAGAGAAAAAGCATCTACTTTAAATTAGTATATCATGAACAAGTCTTATTCTCTGAAGCATCTGTTCCTTTATAAGAAACATCGTTCATTTTAAATAAAATCAGTTATTCACCTACAGAAACTTTAAATCTCCGTACTTCTCGCTTCGAAGTGTGATGCTTAAATTCAAAATTAGTAACATGAGGTAGTTAAAAAAGATGCGATCTACGAGCAGGATGTGCACCACATTAATCAAAAATGAATTCAAGAATGAAAGGCTTTCACCACAGAAAAACAGGTAGAAAGTTCTTTAACTGGAGGAAATTGGATAATGTCAATAAAAAGTCCAAGGACCTGATCATGAGAAATTAGTATACCACGAACAAGTCTTATTCTCTTTCAGACGGTTGATCCTTGTTTTTACTTTTGTACCTTGACTATGTGATCAAGACTTTTTCTATTAAAAACAATTCAGTTTCCTTTACGTTACAATAGAAAATAGTATCTGCTTTGAATTCAGTGGAAAAAAACGGATTCAATCAGGTATACAGTGAGAAGAGCTCTGCGCTAATCAGAGATCTTGCAGGCCAACTGATACGTTTCTATTGACAAAAATAGTATCGAAAAGGAAATACACAGTTCTCAGCACTTGGAAAGTTGTCAAAGATCTGAACTTTTAATCATATCTACAAACTTTATTAACAATCTATCTACTTCAAAGCTTTATGCACACAAATGATTAATTTTTTCACGCAACCTATTACATAATTAAAATGTTGGTTTCACTTTTTAATTTAAAACTTCTTCAATGAAATCGAAGTTGATGTGAAATTTATGAATAAAAGTAAGACATACTTCGCGAAATAAAGCGAAAGACAGAAATTTGGAATTTTTTACTCAATTCCAGCAAAATAAATATCTTTTTAATCCAAAAAATTGCAAAACTGCAACTCGTAGCCAGTTTTGAATCGCCACATGCGATGAACAGCTTACTTTTGTGAAACCACTCTTTAGCAATAACCGTTCCACTCCTAAATAATGTCTCCGACCCCATGGTACGTAAATATGTTGACGTATTTCATCTTGAATAACTCGTACTAAATATTCGTTCCGAAGATCAATCATTACTGTCCTCACCGCCGATGAACTTGTAGGATACAAAGGGCATTTAGTTAAAAATTCGTTCAGATTGTTTTGAGTGACATTAAATATTGTACGATTATCATTACAAGGTGGTGGTCGAAGTCGCTGAAACTCGGTAATTATTGTATTTAGATCTAAATTATCATTCCGGATGACATCACATGGAATATCTTTCAGATAGTTCTGATTGGATTGAACATGAAGACCTATAACATATGAAGTGAGGTTAGCGTGAAACAGAGATGATGCAAATACTTACCACTTAATGCGGCCAGCTGTTTAATAATATGTGCGAATGTGAGACCCCGCTCGAACTTAAATATATGCCGATCATCGCTATAAAAATATTCCAGTACCATTTGTTTGAGTTCAAGCTCATCTTCTTCCATATCATCTTTATAATTGAGACAACTCTCCTTCAAAATTATAAAATCAGCTAACAATGTGCTTGAAAAATGTTTTATATCGTTGTTAACAAATTGATAAAAGGTCTCATCGGCCGCGTGTAACATTTCTTGAAAAATGACGCGTTTTCCAGTTATGAAATGTTCAAAAATATGTTGATAAACACGTTTGGAGAATAACTGCCAACAGAGTATATCCATGCTCAAACCAAATAATTGATAGATCAGTGAAAATGAAGCAACGGCTATGTAGACAGAAAGTAGCCAGAACGACCTTGACTCAGTCACAGACAAAACAGTGCTGGTGCTGTTGTTCTTGTTGATACAGAGACTAAGCGGCAGTCTGCACGTAATGCGTATAGAAGGAGAAAAGAATATATTCCTTCTAATCAACAAACTGAACAGAATGAAGAGAAAAAGTGTATATTCAACTGGACGACTATAACGATCATAACAAAATTGTTTTGTATGTTCCCACGTGAATCCATCCATATAGGATAAAAAAGTTAAATGAACCTGGAATACAATCGATGTAAAATGATACACTCTCATACTCAATATGTTTCATTTTGTATAGTTCGATTTCTGTCTTCCATACACGTTTGTTAAAATAATCAGAAACACAGGATACTTTTCTTTATCCTTGATACAATTGAAGCGTACGTATGCAGTAAAAAGCTTTCTTTTTTCTACTTTTTCAGGTTTTTTGAAATTTCAATTTTTATATATATGAAGAGAAGTATAGCTTGAAAAAGAGAAAGCTATTATTTGAATTCAAAGAGCGGTACATCCTTCGATCCTTTTTTTGGAAACATTTTCCGTTTTGTGTGATGTCACTCTCTTTGTTCTATTTTTCTGAGTACAACAGTACTTGAATTTGCCCTGCCCTACCGAATGAACGTACTCATACAACGAGTGCTCACCTATCCAAAAGTTTAAGCAGAATACTAAACTGAGTTCAAACGGAATTTTTGAGTTCATATATTGCATAAGTCCTCAGATAAGTACTCATCCTATGCATTTTTCGTTGAAATACTCATAATTTTGAAGCAACTCAAATCTTCGAATTTCTGTACTCAATCATTTTCCTCATCACCATTTTGTTTTACGTATGCATATATTAGCTCTTTATCTTTCTTCCGTCTAGTGCCATTCGATCATTGCAAGAATAGTAATCTAGAGCGTATTGTTACTACAGTAGGCGATGGTCGATTCGATAACAACCAGACATTTCTCAAATTTCTACACTTTTTTCTCTTCATTTAAACTATGAGCGTCGACGTATGACCGTATTCTAAATGAAGAGAGTAATCAAACAGAACACAAAACATACCAGAAAAAATACTACTGATAACATCGAGTCGGTTGCATAACTTCAATCGTTGTACAGAATATTGACACAACAGTAGATTTAGTTTTGCAGTTTACTACAAAACTAAGTTCATGTGTTCGAATCTCTATTCGTACAAAATTAATTGTTGTATTTTTCGATAGTTGTGTTTAGAATACTATAACGTATTATTTTTCCGATTGTATTCTGACAGAATAAAGCTAATACCAATCACTAATTTTCTCTGATCTACAACAGTATTTAACTGAAATTAAACTTTTAACAGAAATCAGTCTTTAGGCGTAGCCTTAATTGATGCTGCAGGAAAACGATAACCTTTTGCAAACAGTTCTGGTTCGAAAGACTTCTAGATGGTAATAACACATAGATGTATAACAAAAAATTTTCTACAAAACGGGCACTATTTCGGGATTAGGAAAATTCGCTAATTACATCAGCAGTTATAACATTGCTATCATTACTGATTTACATATTTGCAAGTCCTGTTGAACGTTGTTTACTGATAGTCTACACACTAAAAAAGAGGACTTCTTCAGAAAACTGAAACTGTGTTTTTCATTTGTCCCAAATAGGAATCTGATGTGAGTTTTCTGGTGATTTGCAAAACTGACTTTTGCATTTTCTAGAAGAACAGAAATTGAGTTTTTCATTTTTTCAGATCCCTATTTGGGATATTTGTTTTCCAGAAAATATCAAGTCGAAAAACACATTTTTGTTCTTCGATATTTTTAAAAATCTGGATCTTAATTCCGCTTTTCACCAGCCAACTTTTTTTAATCCATACGATATTTGTTATCATATGAAGAGTTATTCTTTTATTCAGTATAAATACTGTCAAGTAGAGAAAACTATGTAACCCATATCCTAACTTGACCGTCATTTGGAACCTCCTTTGACTTGGGTCGAATCAGGTTCCAAACATCGTAGGTACTCGACTCGTTGGGTTCGAGTCAAATTTTACTGATCTGAAAGAACGGTTTCTGGATGAACTAGAACATCCTGATACGTACGAAATATGGACAAAAAAAGATCAAATAATAACAATACACAACAAGGTGATGAAAAGATTTTTTGATATAAGCTTTATTCTGTCAGAGTACAAGCGGAAAAATATTTCATTATAGTATTCTAAATTAAAACTATCGAAAAACATAAAATCAGTTTTGTACAAAATAGAAATTTGAACACATGAACTTAGCTTTGTAGAAACTGCAAAACTAAATTCACTGTTCTGTGTCTATATTCTGTACAACCATTGAAGTTGTACAATCGACTCGATGTTATCATTAGTATTTTTTTTGGTATGTTTTTTTGTGTTCTGTTTTTGATAAAGATTTTTTACAGAACAAAAACTAGCTAAAGGTATCCAAGATTGTTTATATTTTTATTCATTAATGGTATTAGAAATAAGAAGTGAAGCAGTGTGTCAATCTGGAAAGGACACATTCATAATAGTCGTGCTTTAAATCATGACTCCTTAGACGATGAAGCGATGTTACATTAGAATGCACCACCATTACATTTAGTCGATCCATTTATCAAGCAATCACTCAATAATTACTTTAGTCAACTAAAAGATAACAACGGTTGTTTTATAAAAAGAGTGAATAATATTAAGTATGGAAATTAGTTTCTCCTGATTAAGTTGTATTAAAACGTTTACGTCGAGAACAAGCAGCGAAAATACCAGAACATGTGAAGTTCAACAGTTTCAAGTTAGAGGCTGAAGAAGAAGTAGTTCTAGAAACTATAAATCGCATTGCTTTGTTTCATATCGGATAAATTTCCTCTTCTCACGGACAGATTCTGCATTTCTGAGTACTCCTTGCCAAGAA